TTGTTTCTTAGGATTTAGGGTTTAGGGTTAAGTGAGGTCGTGCTTGTTTGTTTCCTGATGTCTTTAGTTTCCATTCCTGATTTGCTAGCTCCTGAACACATTTTTTTCATTGGTCACTGTAGAATATTCCCGAAGCCCCTGTGTGTTTGTTGGAGGCTCCTATGTCACAGGGGCTGTTAGGGTTTCTACTGTTCTAAACCGTAAACCCTAAACCCTAAACCCCAGACCCTAAACCCTAAACCCTAAACCGTTTGTTTCTACTGTTCTAAGCCGTAAACCCCAGAAGTCCTATAGGCCTATCAACGCTAAACCTTAAATCCTAAAAACTCTTGAATAGGGGGTGTTTAAACGGGTCTATTTTTTTTGTTTTGCCGAGGGTTTTTGTTGTTTTCTTAGCAGATTTTCTACAGAGTTTTCTTTTAGGGTGGGGGTTTTGAAGGATTTCTGGGTTGGGTCTATAGGGCCTAGGGTTTAGGGATTTAGGGCTTTAGGGTTTAGGGATTTAGGGATTTAGGCTTTAGGGTTTAGGGTTTGGGGCTTTGGTGTCTAAGTCGCGGGTTGAGGGGTGTGTGGGTCAGGGGTCTCTGGTTCCAGTTCAGGGGATGCTCACCGGATCCCAGGCTTTTCGCACCAGATTGCAAAGATCACCAAAAAGAGACCAACCAAAGTGGCTTCTTGCGATATGGGAGCTGATATTCTCCCCCTCATAGTCCTATGTAGCCATACTCTCATATACTAATACTATCACATGTCCCAAACGGCTCTCCCTGTTACATCTTCTTATCAAGTTCCCTATATTACATGCCCAGGCTTTAAACTGTGTACACCAAAGCATATACCCTAATACGTGGGCCTTAAGGGGAAGGTTCTCCCGCAGAGCTTTGAGACGTTTAGTTTTTCAGTTTTCTGGGCTTCGTTTTTTCTCCGCGAATGCCCCGGGTCTAGACGCCCTACTGAAACTCATTTTTTCAATCCGAACCCTTATAACCTTAACTTTAACCCCTAAACCGTGCATATAAGCTCTATAAACCCTAAATCGTCGTTGAAGCCTGCGTTGGCAGGCTTTGGCATTGCGGGCTCTATGGAAGCGATTCCATCCCGGCCGCTTGGGTGCTAGTTTAGTTTAGCGCTGTGTCTTAGCTGAGGGCGCAGATGCTGGTGGGTATTCCACCCAAGCTGCGAGGCAAAAACTACAACTTCTTCCTCTGCCACCACAAGGCAATGCTGGTGCTGGGAGCAAGTCTCGGGTTTAAGAGGGTCCACTTGAGGTGTCTGCAGTCTCTGCATTGGGATTGGTGTTTCTTTGGAGGCTTGAAGGGTCGCCAGCACTTGCAACTCTTGCGCTTCCGGATGTCCAGCTTCGGGGGTCCGGGGGTCACGGTTTTAAAGTTTTGGGGTTTAGGGCAAGTTTGGCTAAGGTTTTTCCAAAATGTGGTTTTGTTCTGAGGAGCACTGGCCATCAGGCGTCTGTGCTCGCTCTGTCTCCTTGGGCTGAAATGGTCCACGCTTTGAGGCTGTGATTCGGGTGAAGGACACGGAGGAAGCAACTGGCCGAAGGCAAGGCAGATGTGCACTTGAAGAGCACGCCCTCCCCGTCCGAGCCGAGACCGTCCTGGCTGCGGACATTTCCCGTTCTGCGAAAAGTCGGTGCATCGCGAAGCTCTTCTCATGGTGCATCGCACCGGCTCAGCTTCGCGCAGAATCCGCTCCTCGACGAGCGGGACATCTGTAGAATAACCCTGGGAAACGGGCGTGGATGTACTTCGAACTCGAGCTCGTTCGACAGACCAAGACCTCAGGGTTCTCCAAGGCTTTAGGGTTTAGGGGCAGTTTGGGGTTTAGGGTTTAGGGGCGGCTTAGGGTTTAGTGTTTAGGGTTTAGGGGCAGTTTAGGGTTTAGGGTGTAGGCCCATTACATGGAGAATCATGGGACTTAGAGGAAGGGTGACAGGTACGTTACTTGGCACTAGACTTAGTCGTTGTTCTCTTATCTGTACCTGTGGTTACTAAGTGCCATGACTCTGTACCTGAGGGTCCATGATTATATACATTTATACACACACATACACATACATGTAAATACATAAATAAATAAGTAAATAAATAAATATATATATATGTGTGGGCCCTAAAGAAGAGGCCAATTGAGGCCTCAGTATGCAGTAGATAGATACTCATGGACACTTAAGGGAAGCCCGTGAACACCTTAAACTTTAAACCCGTGTAGATCCTCAGGATTGTTCTTGAGGCCAAAAACCTTGGTACATGAGCATTAGGGATTCAGTGCTCATAGAAGTTTGATTACGCACGTGCTGCTTTATTTGTTAGGCTTCTGTACAAAAATAGTGAAAATGGTACTGACAAACCTATCCGTCATTCAATGAATGAATTGAGGTCCCCTAGTCCAGGCTTTCCGGCTAAAAGGGAGCATGCACCGTTCAGTGTTCTTTGAACTCCAAACCGCGAGTACTAAAACCGAAAATCTCCTGAAGCCCCTAAACCTCAAAACGCCCTAAATTGGAGCCGTGGAGTTGGGCAGTCGGTTCTCTCCCCAGCCCTAAACCCCACATTCGACAAACAACAAAACTTGGCAAAGGCCGGCGCCGCCGTGCTGTGCCGGTGGCTGAAAAGTGAGATGCTCCAGCAGCCTCCTGGTTGAAGTCGGGTTTTGAAGGGTTTAGGGAATTTAGGGTTTACGGAATTCAAAGTTTTAGGGCTTAGGGAATATAGAGTTTATAGGGTTTAGGAAATTTAGGGTTTGGGGTTAGGAAGTTTAGTGTCTGGGGTTTACGGTTTAGGGTTAAAGGGTTTTGGGATTTTCGGATCTAGGGCTGTAGGGTTTAGGTTTAAGGTTCAGAGGATACTATAAGGCTTTAGGAATATAGGATCTTAGAGTTCGCAGTTCAGAGGGCTTTTCGTTTTGTAGTGACTTCATAAGCTTTTTGTTTGTAGGGGCCTTGTACTGTTTTCTTTGGGTTGAAATAGTGTTTTAACGGTTTGTGAACGGGTTCAGAACAACCGCTGGCTCTGTTTATGATCCAGGAATTCCTACACTCGTTCCCACCTAATGCCCCTTGATTCAATGAAGGAATAGACCCTCAATCACACGAGGCCTATGATGTTAATGTTGGCATCCGAGACCCTACAAACCCTATAAACCCCTAGACCCTAAACCCTAAACTCTGAACCCTAAACCCTAAACCCTAAACCCCATATCCCTAAACCCTAAACTCTGAAACGTAAACCCAAAACGCTAAACCCTAGACCCTAACCTGCCCGTTAACCCGAGACGAGACAAAACCTAGAACTTAAGCCATGAACCGCATGTCTGGTGGATAGGTTCCGTTGTTGGTTTTGAGTAGTGCCCCTAAGCCCTAAACCCTCATATGGACTTTTGGGGGGCCTTTTAGGGGGATTCCAGGGGTACTCAAGGGTACACATAGGGGATATCCCAGGGTTTAGGGTTTAGAGGGATCCTAGCGTTAAGTGCCAATACTTGGGGCCAGTGGCTTTTGCTGTAGATGGGTTGAGACCGCGGGGCTGGGTGCTTAAAGTCCTAAAGTCCTAGCCTCAATAAAGCCCTAAACCGGGAAACCCTAAACCCTAAACCGTATGTGAACTTCAATCTAAGCCCCTACACGCGTGTCCCTCCAAGCCTTAAGCCCTAAACCCTTAATTTGACATCTCTTAGGATTTTTTGTATGCTCTTTATAATATACCTCCAAGGGATTAATAAGAATATTTTTTTCCGGTTCCAAAGGCGGCTAAGTTAAGCCCTAAACCTATATCCCCTAGACCCCTAAACCTCTGAATCCTAAACCCGAGGCCTTAGCTCCAAATCCTTAAACCCCGGGAACGCCACTATCGGGGCCGAAACA